CAATGGTAGAATTCAAGTATCTTCCCTTTTTCTTACCACTTGTAATGAAATAAATATACTTGCACCTTACGTTCTCTTTGATTTTCCTGTTTACTTTACGGTCATAATTTGCAATTTTTTATGTTTTATTAAAAACCCCATCTCGTGTCAAAACACTAAAGCAATGTCATCACCTCAAAACGTATCCTATTGAGTTTCACTCAGGTTTAACACGTGAGTTGAGTGGTGGCAGCGATAAGAGTTGAACCCAAGCCTCAGAAGAGATTGGTGCCTAAACCAGTGCCCTAGACCACACGGTCATGATACCTGTCGAAGAGCAAAAGTTAGCAGTACCGCAAAACTAAATTTTTCGATGCAGTCACAAAAGAATACAATTCCTTTATTATATTACATGGAGGGCGTTCGAGAAGGCGATGAGACGAATGCTCCATGAGGGTCTAAATGGGGGTACTTCGATAACACTAAACACTTATTTTTTTGACTGTATAACATTAAACAGTTAATTTTCAGCCATTTTAACACTAACATTAAAAAATTCGTTGTAACATTATTTTTTCCCCATAAACAAACAAACCACATCCTAAAAGGGGAAATATCTATGTTGGGCCTATGTTTATTGTCTCAAAGAGGTTTTTTGGCCATTTTCCAACAATTCGGGATTATTTCAAGACTTCCGAAGAGTGAGGAAGATATCCGAAAGCTGCCGAAGATTTCCGAAAGCTGTCGAAGATGTCTGAAGGCTGCCGAAGATGTCCGAACACTGCTGAAGATGTCCAAAGACTGCCGAAAATGTCCTCTGAGGCTGCCAAAGATGTCCACAGACTTGGCTTGTATAACTCATAACAATTCTATTCTTAAAGCGCTTTTACAGCGAGGATTCACCAACCGTGACCACTTAGAGAGAGAATATATTAGTAACAATCAGATTACGATACTCAAATCAAACAGCCAATGGGATAGAACATCGAAATAAACAGTAAAATTAAGCAAATTTACGGACTACCATCCGTTGTATGAATACCTCAGTATGATTGGTTGGCTTTGTGAGATGGTCCCAGTTGGTGTATCTGCACTGTAAACAAAAAGAGATAAATACGAAAATTACAAGGAAAATGAGAGTTAACATATATGAGTGTTTAAATTTGACTAGTAATGAATGCAATAACAGAATACTCTTTTACCAATAAGATCGGCTACAGTACTCACAATGTATAATGGTCAACAAAAATGACAGACATGTCACTCCATCCTGGCCAAAAACATTTGATTATATTCCATACCTGAATAGTCGCGATTGTCCCAACTGTTTCTAGAGCTCAAGGTGGAAATGAGCGCGGGTGGTGCGACCAAATCTGCTGAACGTTATGTCTGTATCATTATCCGCATCGCTCTCCGAGTCGGTGTCGAATTCATCCTCTGTCTCGGTGAGGTCTGTCACGTCACCAACTGCGACAACTCCGAGCATGCTTTCGTCAACAAAGGTGATTCTCGGTACTTCGTTTGTAGCTCGTGGAATATTTGTATCCTGGTCGACTCGTTCTTCATTGTCTGTCCCTGGATCATCTTAAACATCCTCTTGGAATGTTACTCTAGTACACGATGGCGTACTGGAATATACAGCTGGCGGCAGGGCTCCCGCTTTGTCTTTTGTCGATTCGCTTCTTACCGTCCTTGACAGGTCGATACCTGTCAACCAATTCCTTCATGGCTGCCTCAATGTTGGGGTCAACGTTATCAGCTGGAGGAGGTTTCATCAAATCTACGTCCCGTAACTCCACACTGGATTTAGGCTCTGGATAATAAGACTTCTCAAGTGTGAAGTACTTCGCACCCCACTTCGTTGTTCTCTTTAAAGATTCCTTTGAAATTTTTCCAAAGTCTTGAGCATACTGAAGAGCGGTGAAAGTCTCGTCTTTGAAGTTGGAGACTGCATGAAGGTTCTCCACCTGAGTTGTTAGCAGCGTACGCAGGTCAATGTCACCAAGATAGTCCTCGTTTACATTCTTAACGTTATCTCGTAGCTGTTCCATACCTCTTTCGAGAAGCACCAATGACTCCTGTGTTTTGCTAGAAACAGTTCCTTCAGGGCCATTTATTGTTGCCGTTTCTTTCATTTTATAGTGCTGCCTTACTTCAGCGACTGTGTTTTTTTAATATAAGCATTTACAGATGAAACATTGCACACAGCATCTTGAAGAGATAATTGGACCGCGTCGATCGTATGTGCACCAATTCCAAAACTGTTATAGAGACATTCGAGGTTGCGAAGAAAGGACACTTTGCCAGTAAGCCCCGAAGCTAGTTTGATTGTTTCAGCAGCTATATCGGAAACAAAAAAAATTTTCTACAAGGAACAGATTGCATGAAATTGTGTAAATGAGCAGCTTTCTTCAGTTCCATCAACGGTTCCTTCATGGTCAGTACCCAACAAGGTCTCGACTTTAGCACTTAAGGGATTAAAGGTCTTAACCTTTTGATCTTTGTTGTCGGTGAAAACAATGTTGCCCTCATAACCATACAGCCTCCTGATTTCCTTACAAGAATCTGAAGAATTCCGCAAGAGTCGCTCAACATTGACAGAATCGAGGTTACAACCATATAACCCTCCAGCTGCGCTAGTTGCAGCCAAGTATGCTGATTGCCGCAGAACAAAGAGATTCAACACTTGTCACGTCATTGGAGTAGTTTATCTGTCTCCGCCTACTACCGATGATAGCCACTCCATTTTACTCTGACTCCAGCTGCATTATGCTTCTCTGCTCATCATCTGCACACAAGAGGATATCCTTACTTGCCGCACAGATGGAAGTTGATTTATTTAAAGGTGGTTTAATCTGGACAATTTGTTTATTCATTTCTCGACTTGTGCAGCTAAAGATCTCAGATGTGTCTTCAACCGCTTCTGTAGAACTGGACCTGCACCCTCAAGTGACAATCTGAAACGACTAAGCAGCGAGAGCAAATCAGCTCGCGATTTTAGGCGTCCGGGTTTGAAAAGTACTTCGCCTTTCAATTCAATGAAACGGATTGCTGATGAACCTCTCTCTGCAACGAAGACTACGCCATTGGTAAAGCATAGGTCCCGTGCATCCTTGAATACTTCCCTCCGAACATTTGCATCGACTAGTCGGTGTAAAAGCAGTTCTACGAGACTATCGAGAGTCGAAATCGCAGTCTAACGCCAGTACTTTGCCTTGGGGCCCAATTTCAAGTGCAATTGGTCTTTTGCAAACACTACTTTGGTTGGATTTCCAGAAGCGATACCTTTCAGGAACTATTGTATGGATTACCAAACGTATCCCCTTAAGTACATCCAGTACTGAGGGTCTAGTAAGGCGCATTATCGGTTCTAAGGACAAGAGCATTTCAGCTTTGGCTCACAGTTCACGAATGATTTTCTTGCAGAATTTAAAAGAGCAGATAAAATTTGAAAATCCTTAAAAAAAACTTTGGGGTCTCCTTTCAAACACTAAACAGTATTTTTTTCAAGAACAGTAAACATTAAAAAAATGGCCAATTTAACAGTAAACACTAAAAAATATGGACAAATAACACTAAACACTAAACCCCATTCAGACCCTCCTCCATGAATAATGAAATTTCGCATTGAGTTTGTAGACGATGACAATAACTTACTCAAGGAGTATTTAAATCCTTCAGCTTGGCTTTGTTACAGTGACAGTGTTCGAGTAAGAACCCGCTGAATGGTTTTTATCAGAAAATAATTGAATCTTAATTAACAACAACAATCTTAATAACAAGGAAATCAAACTCTACACGATGTTCCTTTGAAGTCTTATAATATCCACTTTAGTTATCTTTAAATATTGTAAAAACTTGAGTAGCCCGACCCGACAATTTCAAATTTAGAGTCAGGAAATAAACTTCAGCAGAAGCTTTGGCAATAAACTAAAGAGTTAAAGAGATTTACTCCTTAGAGCGTCTTGATGATGTCTATAGTTTTAAAAGTTGAAAAGGCTCTGTCTTCATAGTCAATCATTGCTATTAAAACGGTTCAACTGTGCGAGTCGATTCGACTTTCTGGCGATGAAACACAAATCTAACGTGAAGAATGTCATACTTTGACGCAGTGAGGGTGAAAATTCAACATAAAGAACTAAATAAATTTTCTCTAACCACGAACGCGTCATATGGTTAAAATCTGTTTTACAAAGTCAGAGAGCCAAAAGACGCCTCAGCCCATAAGAATGTTTGAGAGACGAACAAAGTATTTCACAAGTAATAAGTAGCATCCACTCGTACGCTTCTGACTAATAAGGTGCTTTAACTATATGAAAGGAAGTGTCTAACGCATCTCTGAGGGGTAAATATTAAGCACAGCATTCTTTTTACTCTGAACTGATAAATTACTTTTCGTCCTTGTATATCCTGAAGTAGTAGTCTACAAAGTCGCTCCTCCCAAGATTTTCCACAAACTCTTCATCATGGGTGATGATCACAAGTTGAAAGTTTCTCTGCAGATGTCTGGTTCTGATGACGCTGAAAAAAATTTGATGAGAACCAGGCAACGATGGGCAACTAAATTAGTAAGCCTAACACACTGACTAACAAGGAAAATTTTATAACAAGAAACCCAAATTACAAAAGTGGTATTTTGTGGGTCCTGTAGAACCTCACAACAGTGCCTCTTCGATGATAAAATTTGTTTTCGTTTTTCTTCCCCACACAAATTTAATCACTTTTCCGATTCTAACTTTCATGAAAATAACGGCCTACGAACGAAGACAACTATCAAACGTACCACCTCCAAACAAAATAAAAGGCCCATCTGGATGAAAAGACACTGTCTTTTTTTTAATTTTTGAAAGCAAACTAGGATGACCCGAGAACTGTTTAAAGACAACTTTGGGTGGCTGATCAAAAACTTAAATCGTGAAAAATCTGCAAACATCTGACGTATAAACAGCAGCAGACTATTCAGTTCACAGCAGTAAGCTGAGCAGTATTATCAAAGAAACTTACGCTGCTAATTGGTTCGCATTTGTAGTCGGCTCGTCGAGAGTTAAAATACCGCAGTTCAGGCAGAATGTTTCTGCCAGAGCTAATCTGATTATCAACGATGCCAGAACCTGTGATAGCAATATATCAGCAGATGAAAAGTAAAGAGAGGGTTTGTAAAAAGAAAAAACGAAATTAAATGAAAATTTTCCAAACAGTCTCTGGTTAAATATACCGTACCAGCAATACACAATCTTTTGTCCTTCAGAAAGTCAAAAGTCACCTCCCATTTGCACTTTTACGATTTATGTTTCGAAGGTCAGGAGAAGGGTAGTAAAAGCATCTCAAAGTGACAAAGAACATCAAAATTTCACTGACTTATGTGTTTTGCCACTACGTCAATTCTCCTATGCAGCTCAATTGATAGTGTGCCAGGCAAATCATTGTAAAAACGATGATACAAACACACGTCAAAAGAAAAAATAATAATTATAATAACAAAACAAAATAAAGAACGAAACAGAAAACAAGGTTCCTATGCTCGCAAGAGTCCAATTTAAGATCTTTAAGGCCCGTTCGAAGGACGGATGCCTCGTGGGGTCTTATCTTAGTGTACGCTTCCGATTCAAACCTTCTGTCCAGCGCTACAGCGTCCTCTCACGTCCAGTACTGTGTCTCCTTTAACCATAACCACCTGATAAAACAGCGAAGGGAAAAGATTAACTTAATTCCGAGGGACGACAGAGTTGAATTATTTCTGCACTCCTCACGTGCTCACTTGTGAATCCTTACCAACAGCATACATCATTAAAAATATTCACCGACCACCAGAAGTTACCTAAAAAATATAACATCTCCGGCAATTTCAATACATCATCCAGCGAAAAAAATAATTAGAATCGACCATCTTATCAGCTTAGGTCCGTAATCTTACACCAGACTCTCTTAAATAATTGAGTAAAACTTTGAAAAAGCCTGAGAGGATATATACTAATCAGAATCTTCGTAGTCCTCTGATAAAATGGCAAGACTATTTCACATAAAATGATGAAGAGGGGGATTCTTCTTCTTTAAAGAACTTATTTAGCAAGTTTATCTAGAGTAGGGTAAAAGAAAACAAAGCTTTTTACCCTGTAGTTATACGTCCGTCGTGCTTTAATCGCTCCACTTCCTTCTTCCTCGTTTGCACGAATTTCAGTTGTATCGATATCTACAGAAAAACGATTAGAGGAGATCTTTGACCTAATTATAAATTACAGCCACAGCTCTATTGTCGAGTCTGCATTAAAAAAATTGTCTCCACTGTAACATTTAAACTCTAACAAGCTTTTTCTGTCCTTCAGTCATTTTTTTCTAGTTCGTCCTAATTTTTTTATTGAATGCCTAGTCTTGATTTGCTCTCGCTTGTGTCATTATCTTATTTCAGGAACATTTTAAGGAGACTGGAACGGGTAAGCAGAAAACGACCTTTTCATCTAAATACTTGGTCCAGCAAAATTACAAAAGAATATTCTCAAAATGACAGACAAGTGATTTAATGTGAGATACGGCCATTACCACATATGATATACGAAATATATCATGTTTGAATGGCCTATCGATGAGAAGATTTTTCCCATAAGCGGCTGCCGATGACGTAATAGGGAAAAAGGGGCTGTAAGGCGAAACCCAAACACAGAGCCTGCTCGCAGGCTGAACAGCGACACCATGAGCAAGATTTATTTCTCATATTTTAAAACGTACATTTCCAAACTTCTCAAGCTACAGGTGAGCAAATATCACCTTTCTCTTGGTTGATTTCCTGCCCATTTTTTTTGCAAGCACGCGAAAATTTTCCCATCAGTGAAGCAGCTTGGATCGCATAACACAACTTTCCGTGCTCAAGGGGTCAAGTTATTCTGTAACAAAGGACTCACCAAGTTTTGAATCCTTCTCGCCAATATTATCTCATGTCACTCTGGATTAAAAGATATTTCCCGTTTTTCGTTATAACCGCAAGAATTATTTCATTTGTGCATTTATCATTGTAATATTTTTTTCTCAGTTTGAAGAACAGGCGGATAGAGACGACCTTATGGGAATTGAGGACAACGCAAAGAGAGATATCCTTTTCCAAATGAACATGTAATTTTTCAGCTGTATTGGTGTAATTTGTGATGGCATTGTGAATGTGGCTTAATGGGACAAAAGGATACTTAGGGGCCATCAAAACCTTTCAACGGGGATCTTATTCAATTGTATGAGTGTAGCATTTGGATCAACTAAACCAGATTTTTCCTCAATTCTTCTTAAGTATTTTCTCTGGAAGAGTTGCTTTAAAGAATCGTTCCACAATTTTCACTCTTGGAAGCCGTGGCAGTGTTTTAACATCAGAGTTAGAAGAACCCGTGATCGTGCCTCATGCGGCGCAAAAGAGCGAAAAGAAGGTGAGAGAGTCAATGGCCACACTAAAACAAAATGTCTACTGTTAAAAAGCGTTCATTTACTTCATCATTTGCTTAAAATTTGCTATTCGTTGACCATCGCAATTTAATAAAAAAAGAACTATTGCAATTTTTTTGCAGCAGTGACTTGTTATCTAGAATTCTGATTTAGCCGAGGCTAAGCTAATATATTTTGCACTGAGCTGTGTGGTTATTGACGCGTCTTGTTGTCTCACACTTACTGTCAATGTATTTCGGGGGAAATGTAGAGTAATTGTTTGAACTTTACCCAAGATGATGGAGAGTATTTCGAACTGTTTGTTAATCTCTTCTTTTTGCAGTACTCCTTTGAAAGTCTGATTCGCAGCATGCACTTTGCTTTACTGGAAAACAGCTGTCGTGAATACCTATTCCTAGCTGACTTTTTCATGGTACAGAAAAACTCAGCAAGAGATCTGTTTACCGCTGTGTTCGGCAAAACATTATCCTTATTTCTGGTAAGTTATGTCTAAGAGTTAAGTTTGTTTTAAAGAGATCTTTTGGGAGAGATAAAATGAAATCGGCGAAAGTGCTTTCAGTTTTCCCATTGTTTGTCAAGTTGTTACAGTGACTGTTAACAAAGGTGTTGTGTCTTTAAAGAGACCAAAACGTTTTAATTTTTTTTATTATTAATACTATTTTGCCACGGTTTTTTTCCTTGCTAAAGTATTTTTCAGAGAGTGGGCTGAAGTACTTACTAATTGGAGAGCTGTTTTGACGCTATTGGAATCTTCCTATGTATACACATTGTACACCGATACAGAATACTGATGCACAAGAGAAGCGTCCCGGCTCTGGACAAGTAAGTGATTATCAACCAGGAATTATATAATAAGCTCAGTTATGCACACATTCTGATTGGCTCTCACTTATGATCTATTGGAGGAAAGACGTATAGATGACGTAATCATTAAAACTTTTTTTACGCACATTTTAATTCTTTATAATATAAAACAAATAGATTCCAAGTTGCCGAGCGTCTGTTCAGTAATAGATCACAGAGGACGTCAAAATGTGGTAAGAACATCAGTGACACACTCGGCTGCGCCTCATGTGCCACTTTTTTGTTCTTACTACATTTTGACGTCATCTGTGATCTATTACTGAACAGACGCACGGCAACTTGGAATCTATTTGTTAAAGAGTACCGGGATTAACCCTTTAAGTCCCAAGATTTGATTGTTAATTCTTCCCTCTAACTGCAACACATCTACTTGTAAATTAATCACGAGAATTTGGTGTTGGATCAAGATAACAACTTCCACCCGATTAGTTTGAATATTCTCATTACCTGTGTACAGGATAATGTGTGGATATTGTAGGGAGAAGTTACATGCTAATCACTTTTGGGAGTTAAAGGGGTTAACACGGAAAGTTTGCTTTGTCATCAGCCAAACTGTTCAATCACGTAATAGTTGTTCATAAGAAGTCTACGTTGTAATCATATGTAATATTTTTGTGGCTATCCTCACCAGGTATTAGGACACAATGCTGGAAATGTCATGGCCACGTTTCACGTACGTAGTAGAGTTAAATGTCGACAGTGTTCGTAACACAGATTTCCAAAGACATGGAGTGATCGACATCAGACCAAATTACGTAAGCATGGCTTCTAACTATTCTTGGCATTTTTACCGGCTTCGTAGGACACACCGTGTAACAAAAAAGTTTATATTTTCTCGCGTTACGTATGATAATGTTTATCTCTTTCATGCGTGACTTGAGCCAAACGCGCGACATGCACTGGTTGTGATATGAAAGTCCTGAAGTGTAGTACTAAATTGTTTGTAGAAAGTAATCTTGATTTCTTCAGGGTAATTTAGTGTAATCAACTGAGTTGATAACGTAAATTGGCCACCAAAGAGTTTAAAGGCTGGCCTTTCAAACGTCAGCCCTTCGTCAGAGCGATCGTATCGTTAATCAGTGTAATCAGCTGATTACACTAAATTACTCTGTTACACTCTCCCACCGGCGCAGCACAACAGTTTCTTAAGAAACTTAGCCCCTTTTTTCATTTATCTTGATTTCTTCAGTTTTTTTCAAATGTGTTTTTCTTTTTTTAGATAATCCGTCGATATGCAGAGTTTTCTGCCGCGATTGTCAGCTTGAATGAAAGTTTTCCAGATGAGAAGGTTAGAATAATTAAATTTAATTCACTCACTGTAATCTCTTTCTTAATTTTATTTTGTACTTTAGGTGAAAAATTCCCTGTGGCAACCTCCTCTATTCACCAATTTTTTTTTTCCAAGGTAAACAAAGTCCTTGCAGCTTTACGAGTCGAGGTCGAAAACTTCATTTTGCGTATAGCCGCGGAGTTTCCTTTAAGGAAAGAACAGCATATTTTCCTAATCAACAACTACGATATGATGCTGGCTGTTTTACTGGTATGTTTACACAGAAACACCTGATTTAAAGTATCATGAATAGTAAATGCCTGACGGTAAAAGCGAAAGCGATTTATGGCCGGCTAATAAGAATTGGAAAATGTGAGGGTTGAATTCTTATCGGGGTCATTTTTTCTTGGTTGTGTGTGTAAATTTTGTTGTGCTTGTTTGTTTGTTTTGGAGTGCAATAAATACACTCTCTGTTGTGCCAACATTTTATCTGTTCCCTTTTTTAGGAGAGAACATCTGAAGACTCCAAAGAAGTGGAAAGTTTTCAGCAGTTACTCACAGCCATAATTCAGGAGTTCGTTGAAGAGGTGTGACCTGGCTCTGTTCTTTCTAGTGTGGAGAAATTTTTACCCAATGATTTTAATTAAATTAGTCTCATAATTGTCATGACTCCTTTTTTGTCTTAAATTTGGCCCTGGAAGGGCAAGCCTTTGATTGAGAATGAAGATGACTTTAAATTACTTCTTTATTCGCAGGCTCTCTCTCCCGCTTTTGGTGGAATGATTGCCTTCGTTAAAGAGACAGAGCCTCTTTTGGAAAGAGGACAAGGACAAGGAAAAGTCATCTGGCCAGATGAAAGTATGTCGGCTGTTCAGTATTTGCCTTGCTGATATATACTTTATTTTATGTACTCATTTCTATTTTGTGTACTGTACAAGCCGAAAATCTCTTGGCTCTGATGATGACTTCTGTTGTGGCTGTCAAAACGTCAGCGACACCGACAATTGCTTCCAGGGCCACTCGTACACCAAGGGACACACCACACAACGAGTTGTATGTCTTCGGCCTGTCACTGATTTCTTGTTTCCATTTAGAACGCATTCAACAACTTGTGCGTGGTTTCGCATCGGACTGGAAAAGGTCAATTGAAAATATAAATCAAGAGATAATGAGATCGTTCTCCAACTTCAAGAATGGCACAACAATTCTGCAGGTATCACGTTCACAAAGAGTAGCTACTCGCAAAGTGAATTAAGTCTTCGGTATTTAAATAACCTCTTGGGTGAGGCCAAGCACAAACTATTAGTTTGGTGAGAAACACAAGTTGTGAAGAAAAGTCCAAATGGACAGAGGAAGATACCCCATGAGATGGACTAGCTCTCGGCTTCACAGACCCCAAATATAATACTTTGTTAAACTAGTGGCATGTTATGTAATTAGCCTTTGATGCAGACTCTAGCTCGCCCTCATAACAATTCTGTTTTATATTTCCTAGGCTGCTTTGACACAACTGATCCAGTATTATCACACATTTCAGAAAGTTTTATCTCAACATCCTTTTAAACGGCTTCCGATCCGGAGTGAACTGATCAACATTCATCATGTGAGGGTGGAGGTCATAAAACACAAAAC